TTCTACCTTCACGGGCTGCCTTGGGGGCTAATCGCGGTGTCGGCCGGGTGGAGGGCTCTCTGCTCCCACGGCTGAGGGGGCCGGGCTGGTAAGGTGATGGCAGAGCTTCCCCTCGTCCCCGCGAGCCCGTTGGGCAGCCCCAGGTGAGGGCCGCAGGGCTCCCGAGCGGCCTGCACGGGCGGGCGGGATGAGCAGTGCTGCGGTAGGAGCTGCCTTGTCGTTGATTCCCAACAAATTGTAAGGGGCAGCTGATCTTGGCTCCATTGTTACTAGACCAGTTTCCATTCCTGCGTGAGCCTTACGCTGTCACAGAAAATGTTCATGTGGGTGCCATCAAGCTTTAGTATTTTCTTACCTAAAACTGTCTTCTGGTTCACAACAACTTCATAAGTATGGGCCTTGCTGCTGAGACCCAGTGCTCTAGCAAATGAGTTTCCAAATATTGTAGCAGCTGTAGCGAGTAACTTAATAGGTACTGTGAATAGCATAATTACACTCTTTGTTACCATCCTAAAATACAGCTGGGAATACGATCAGAAAGTGATGGCATCAGCACCAAGACAGGATAAATTTGCATATTTCAGCTGTAAGAGTTTGGTGCTTCTGAGCACCAGTGGTGGCCCCACAGTGCAATTCACAGCTGGCAGCATCAGGTCTGCTCGCTGGAATTAGCCATCTCATCTCTCCTTTGCCAGGTCAGGTACTTTGGTCAAATTGAGGCCACTGGGCTCTGTCTCTGAAGAAGCAACATTAAAGAAAGCTGGGGGGAGTCTCTTTTTACAAGGGCCTGTAGTGATAAGACAAGGGGTAATGGGTTTAAATTGAATGTGGGGAGATTTAGATGCGATACCAGGAGGAAGTTCTTCATGGAGAGGTTGGTGAGGCACTGAAACAGGTTGCCCAGAGAAGCTGTGGATGCCCCATCCCTGGAAGTGTTCAAGGCCAGGCTGGATGAGGCTTTGAGCAACCTGGTCTAGTGGAAGGTGTCCCTGCCCATGGCAGGGGGTTGGAACTAGATGGGCTTTGAGGTCCTTTCCAACCCAAACGATAGATGTAACCCACCTTGTTCCTGTAAGGAGACCAGCAGCATCCATGTAACACCCTGGCTGAAAGAATCAACCCTCGTTTATTATTTGCTGTGTTGATGTTGACTTAATTAGATGTTGGATTAAATTCTCTAAGAAGAAAGAGGATCTTTGTTTCTCTGTCCTTTTTTGAATGGTGTGTCCACAACTGTGGTTGCCAAACAATTCATCAGCATCTCCCAGGCTGAGGAACAGAAGCCTTGGTGCTGGTGCAGAGGAAAATGTTGGAGTTGGCTCACTGGAGGAAGTTGATGCTCTTCAGCTGATGGGAAATTGCCTTCATACAGACAAGGTCAGTGCCTTGACACTGGTTACTGTCTCTCACCCATCCCTGTGGAAGTGGTACCCCCTGTGCTGATGCCAGTGGTGGCAACACCAGGAAGGCAGCTCACCGGGCAGGGCAGCAGGTGACTGCAGTGCTACCCCTGCAACCTGAGTGTGCTCAGCTTGGCTCCTTGCCTATCCTTTGGAACAGAACTCGGAGCTTGCCACTGCCAGTGGCGGGAAGGCTTTAGGCTCAGCTTCTTTCCCCTACAGCTACATCGACTGGGCTTTCTGAAGTGGTCCGTACTGTTAGTCTAAGCAGGGGCTTCTAAAGGCATCTCTTGCCTATGCGTGATCGATCCTGTGCAGGAGAAGGGACAATGCTTCTGAGGCATCCATTCCCACATCCCAGGCTCACAGCCTTCTTTGAGAGACCTAGTGGGGGTCGTGGGTAGAAAAACAATAAGAAACTCGTCCTCTTTCAGGAAAGTATGTGCAGCTATGCAAAATATTTGTAATCCTGACAGGCCAGGAAGTGAGCTTCAACACCAGACCTGTAATCGTCCAGGCTGCCTAATTGCTAGCTTGCTCCCTTGCTGTGTTTTGCAACTGCTTTTAATTAATCCTCTTCATGACAGTGTCGAGGGGTATTATTTCAATGACAGTTCACTCCAAACACAGGGAGTGTTTGCTTTCAAGAGAGCAGTGTGGATATAGGGAACCCTCCATTCAAGACAGGACTCCAGTAATAAAATGTCACTACGAGGGTGGTGAAGCACTGGCACATCCTGCCCACAGAGGTCTGTGAAATCTCCTTCCACGAAGACACTCACAGCAAGATCTTCAGTACTGATCCAACTTTGAAGTTAGACCTCCTTTGAGCGGATGGTTGGGCTAGCTGACCTCTTGCAGCTCCTTCCAACCAACATTTTTCCATGTTTCATCAGACTTTGAACCCTCAAGTACCCTCAGATGCTCTCAGCTCTGCATCACGGGGCCGGCGATACAAAATGGAAATGTTCACAAAATGTTCATGTTCATGTTCACAAAATAGAAACCACTGCCTTGGTGAACTATAGCACAGCGTTCACCGTCAGGACCTTGGAAACAGAAATAAATCCACCCTGTGTTAGGGTACAGAGGGCCGTCCCGGAGTCGAGTGGAGAGCGGTGGCTGCACAGCACAAGCAAGGCCACTGTGTTGTGGGTGGACGTAACCCCACGCAACGCGTCTCTGAGCCAGGACTTGCCGTTTAGCCTCAGGGTTAGGGACCCTTCCCCACTCTTTGAGCGGTAAGGCTGAAGGAGAATATGCACAGCCAGTGTAATGTGAAAAACGCAGAACAAGAAGTGAATTACAAATTAAAGGAAGCATTGCTGGGTATGGTCTACAGAATCCATGGCATGGCCCAAAATCCCCACAGGGCTACCATGCTAGTTACGTAAACGCTTTTTGGGGGACATTTAAGAAAGGCAATATGCCTCCTTCAAATCCAGGTAATAAGGAAGCATTTACATACAGTCACAGGTAAAAGCACAGGGGACTGAGAGAGCCTACTTGCTTTCCCACCCTTCTCCAGCCCTCAATTAAGAGCGTTGATACAAGGTTTAATACCATAGCCTTTATTGATGACACTGGAAAGCAGATGTTTGAAAGCAACTCATTTTTCATAAACAGGAAAGAAAATTTTACTTCCTATGATGTAATTACACAAAATCTGTTTAAGCCACTGATATTAAAAAAAAATAAAAAAAATATTTGTGTACTATGTAATGCAGTACCATCGAGAAGTCCTACATAACTCTATTTTCTATAGGAAAGGGAAAAATAAAACAGATTTGCATGGAGAGAAGTCAATAGTATAAACCAAGTAAATGTATGTTATAAGGAATTCTGACAATTTCTTAGCTCAGTTCTTGAGGATGGCTAAAGAAACAGATCCTAGCAGGATCAAACCCTGTATATTTACACTCATAGGTGTAAAAGTAATATTGCCAGTTAATTGAAATACACATTTTCAGTATTATTCTGAAAATTAATGAGGTCTAGAAGCTCTATTTTAAGCTCAGGTGTTCACATTTGAAATAAAGTACTTCTCGCCTCCTGTATAATTAAGGCAAAGTCTGTTATCTTTTGAAAATACCTTGAATATAGTTTCTGCATAAAAATAGGAAATAAAAAATAAAACTATATATATATTTAATGGAACACTGTTATGTATGGTCCAGCTGAATAAGGCACAAAAAGTAAATAGAATGCAAAAGCATATATAAAAGTTATTGTGTTATTTTTAGTGGAATATAGCAAAATTCAAGTAGTTCCGAGTATGCTCTTGTCTTGCAATAGGAATATATATTTTATATAGGTATTTCATGCTAAGCCTGATGTAGAAAGTTTCATCATGTAAGCACAATCTATCAGAAGTAGGTGATTTGTACAGTGACCGTTGTTTAGAAACCTGATACTTTTCAAACCATCTGAAACAAGGCTCCTTCAATGAGATGACTTGGCCTGAAATCCAAGTGTGAGAATTTTTCCACAAGGCAAAGTATGTGGGTTTCTCGCTCGAGTCACTTGGCTTGGGCCAGTTTGGTGCGCGTGCTTTATCGGAAGGGTAATACTCCCATTAATGACAACACATGTCCCTAATGCTGGACACGTTCGCATGGTTTGTTTTCGCAGGTATTCACAAGCAAATTTTCCCTCTCTAGATTTTCAGAGAGATTACAGTGTGCAGAATGGGCCACTTGCATCAGTTCAACTGCACGATCAGGGTCAGAAACCTTTCAGGTGCGCTGAAATTAAGGGGTTTTTTTGTTACTTACAGAATAAATTTGATTTAATTTAGTCTGTAAGTATGGTCTGTCTATCAACAAATAAGCATACATGTACATGTATAGAGAACAGCAAATCTTAAGATACTTTGATTTTAAAAAGCCATACATCATGATTTGTTGTCTGACTGCAGCCTCAAAGCAGCCCCCCTGCCCCCAAGTAATATGTAGGCGACTTTCACAAAGGAAGGGGAGAGCAGATGAAGTCTTTACTTCCTTCCCAAAGTTTCAGCTAGTTTCTTCAGTCTTTTCTTCAGCTCTAGAGGAAACTTCTCATAACACTTTTTGCAGACAGGCTTCATATCAAACTCGACAAATTTATTCCTAGAACGACAAAGCAAAAACCAGGCAAAGTTTTAGCAGCAGGGATAGTGAAAAGAAAAAAAAAAAACCACCAAACTATCCTAATAAATGTGCGCAGGCAAAAAAATCACAGCTGCAATTTATAGATGTATATGAGGTTCTTTCACAAGCTTATACTCTGCAGGCAGTAGTAATTACAGTACTCTTGACTGAGTTTAAACCCAAATGTCCATCTTAATTAACTGTGTCATTTAAAAAGCCCTTCAAACCTAACTGCAGAGCTAGACAGACTAATCCTAAGGTAAGGGAGTAGCAAATTAGCATTTCAAGTTGCTGTTTCGTGAAAAATATTCTGGTTTCGATTGCCCTCCATTCATGCAAAAGCTTAAAATAAAAGCATCCTTAGCACTGACCAAAGAAGAAAGGAGCAGAGGTGGTGGTGAGAAGGAAAAAAAAGTTTACAGACAGATTGGCTTTTTCTTTTTCTGCTTCTCTTTATCCTTTGCTTCACGTTCCCGTTTGGCAAGTCGTCGCTTAAATTCATCTGGCATTTTCTCGTAACAGTGTTTGCAGACAGGTTTTAGATCAATTTCAACAAATTTATCCCTTTAGAGTAAAACACAGAGAAAATAGAGGACAGAAAAAGAGAAGCGTTAAGAAGACTAAGTGAAGGAAGGCCTGAACAGACAGCTGAAAGAGATTTACATCTGTAAAGGGGAAAAAAAAGGAAGAAGGATGCACGTATTTTCTCAATACTGCTTATGTGTTTTTCCTATTGTAACAGTTACCCTACGGCAACATCTGCTCTTTGAAGATAACCACTGATATGCTGGGAAGGCATCACACTTAGGGATGAACTTACTTGAGTGTTAACTTAGTGTTGCAAGTTGAACAAGCGAAACAGTTGACACACCACGCCTTATTGAGAGCAGACACAACTAGGGCGGTGGGAAAAAAAAAGAAATCATTAGCATTACAGAAAAAATCCACCATATTATAAAAAATTTAAGCTCGCACATGAAGAACAGTCACTTGAGTCTTCTATCAAGTATTAAGGACCGCAACAATAATGTGGCAAGACTAGGAAGGCACACCTGAGCATAGCGGGGCTGTGACGGACTGATTGAGCTGTCTCTGGGGGTACACACAACCCTACTTTCACCAGCAAGACAAGTTTAACCTATTTCTGCCTCCTGTTGCCTGCTTCTACCTCACCTCATAGCGTGCTGACCTCAAGCAACTGTTTCAGGAGGCCATGTTTCCAACTTACTCTGGAGACTTTTTCAGCTGAAAAGCAACCCAGCAGGAAGGTGTTTCATATTTTCACTCGGTTTCATTGCAGTGCCAATCAACAGTACCATTTGCCTGGCCAAAGAAAATGATTTACCAGGACACTCCTGGTAAACCAGCAGTACCAAGTTGAGAAAAAATTTATGGACACGTGGGATAAACTACTTGATTGAGACAATCTTGGTTATATATTCTTTGCTTTGAAGAGAAAGTAACTATCTTCTCTTTGTTGTGTATCTCAATCTATTTTCTGTTCTTCCTCTCTATCCACCTTTCCACTTCTCCTGCCAAAATTTGCCTCTCTTCATCTAAGTTAGAAGATGCAGGACGATGGTTTTCTTCCTTAAATACAGTGTTTTGTCAGCAATGGACAGAGCCAGAGTGGTGTTGTGCAGTGCTTTTTTTTCCTTCGCTACAGGGCAAGCACATCCTCAAAAAGCATTCCACTGCTTGCCAAAGTAATAGTAGTCAGGTGAAAGTCTTCATTCCCAAGCACCCTCTGGAATACAGAGACACCCCTCCTGAAAAGCCGCTGCCACAGAAGTTTGTTTCACCAGAGGGAGACACAGAGAGAACAATACTGGATACTCATAATTTGTGACAGCGGTGTCAAATTTGTATGCAGAAATGAGCGAAGGCATGTAAAATAGTTGAAGAGGTACACTTAAATAAAGAAATCACTGCACTGCACTGTATCCTGTTCAGTTCAGAGACTGAAACATACAACACGGGTGTCGGAATATATGGTGAAAGGTTAGAAACATACAGAGATGTAGCTATCAGACAAGACTGAATTAATTCGTTCACCTCAAGTTCCAGTTCTACTCATTCTAGTAGGATTTTACTGAAAAGGAGGACGCTCTTTCCTCCAAAGCGGTTTGGACTGTCATTCTGCCGGTATAGTCCAGTCCAGATAATGCGGAGAAAGCACCTCTCTGGAATGTAGGTCTCACCCTAGGGTTACATGGCTATGAACTAGTTTATGTCTCTTTTTACAGGCTTGAGGCTTCCTCCTGCTTTGCTAATGGCTTCAGCTTAGGTGAGGCTAACACTGACATCATAGTGTTTACTCTGGGCAGGGGTAAATGGGCATATCATGTTGCATTATTTCAGGTAAAGTAACTTGCTTTTGGCATTTTATCATAGCTGATTGTCCAAAAAATCCCTTCTTCCCTCCCCCAAAAATCAACAAAACCAAACAACAACAATGAACAACAAACAAACAAACAAAAAATACCCCCTTAAACCACTTGCTTCTAGTTCTGCCTTTACAGGACACATCTTTCCAAGTATGATCTTTCCTGGTTTTATTATCATCAGCCTAGATTTTCCAAAGACAGGGGGCTGCGATGGATTGGTAAATATCTCTAGGAACCAAACTGACAGTATGGGAACTAAGCACTTCAAAAAAAAAATCCTGTAAAGTGCCCACCCATATCTTTCAATATCTCATACTCTTTCAGATTTGGTTCACGACCCCTGAATTTATTTCAGGAGGTGCCTGGGTGGTCATTCTCACCCTTGCCATGTGTTCTTTTTTGAAGTCGAGGGGGCAGGAAGCCACTTCTGAGCATCTCCCGGCATCCCTGGCCTTTGCATGCCACTAAGGGGTTTCCAGTTGGCCACGCATCTCTTCAGTCACCGAGTGGTTCTCTACCACCACGAAGTGCTCACTGTAAGGTTTTCTTACCATCTGGTCTCTGACTAATCAGCTCTAACCTAATTTCTGATCAAAAGAATGGCTGATTTTGTTTTAAGGAGAACAATCAAGCATTCGACAAGGCTGCTTTCCCCTTCCTTACACTTTTAATGAGAACTTCCATCAGAAAGGAAGATTAAGGGAATAGAAGAGTGCTTACCATCTCCTTCAATCACACGGTTGCAATGGAAGCAAACATCGCCGAATAGCTGAAGACAAAAGGGGAGTAATGAATTTTTAATTTAATGGTTCAGTGAAGGGTAACTTCTCCAACCAACACAATAACTGTATTCCAGCAGATGAGCACAGTAGCTTTCCTATTTATTTCAGTAAAATAGAGAATGCTGGCAAGTCTGGTTTGGTTTTCCAAGTACATTTCGCATCATCTCATCAAAAAAGTCTTTACAGTATTAAAGATGAAAACATTTGTTTACATCTGTTTGATCCTCTGTAGATACGATTCTGTTTTAACCCTTCTCTAGTCCTGAAGGCTTGCCATACAGCAGTGCGTGTCCCGTACACATCATTACCAATCAGCCAATTTGATGTTTGGACTTAGATGCATGACTAGAACAGCATATTGCTGTTTCTGGCAAAAACTGTAAGGAAATGTTATTTTTATTTTTTAAAAAAGGAAAATTTAGGCCAAAAATTATTCATTCCATTTCCAGGTTTAACATTTGTCCACCAAATAGTAATTAAGAAGTGCCCAAGAATCGATGTCGCTCTTCTCACTGTAGTAGTTAACCCAGTACAAGACATCCACGCTGCATACAACTCTGGCCTGGTGTATGTACTCGCCCCATCATGGCCGCAAGACTATTGCTACCAGTGTCACGGCATTTATTGTCTACGATCCTCTACGACTGCCAGCAACATTTTAGCCATCTGCCCTTCATCGCTGACAAATTAAGAATCCATCTGTAATTAGCGGAGGCCGTACAACTCCCAGGTGTAAGCCCTACCCTTGTATTTACACAGGCGAAGAGGCGGACGTGACACAAGGCAGGCGGCTTCCAAATGGAAACGGTCTGTGCATCGTGGTGCTGGGCTACACAACCCCGGGAGTCTGGAGAGAGACGGCGCCCCTGGATGTGGCTCCTGTACACATGGAAGTGGTCGCTAGGCGGTGTCCTCTGACAAATCCTGTCTTCAGCAACCTAAACCACGCGCTGGGTGAGGCAGTGCATGTTAATGCAGTCACCTCGGAGTAGCAGCTGTGGGGAAAACCACGCGACTCACCAGGGCCTCCTCTCAAACCGCACCTACTGAGTGGCAAATCTTTAGCTTCTTGGGAAAGACTGGGTGTCATTAGCAGCTCTGATCTCACAGACGTGTAAAAGCTCATCACCACTCTACTGAAGTACCACTAAGTTTGAAGAACTCGATACTGATTGTTCTGGCAAGCCTTTGTGAAACACCTGCCCTTTTCTTCCTCAATACCAGACCGACGTATAGAGAAACCCACAGAAATTAATTGCAACGGAACATCTGCTAATGGGCACTACGCCCGCAGGTGCCTATAAGAACACAGAAGACTGTCCATAGTTTTCCATCTCTACCTAATAGAACCAATTAATGAGTTTACCAATTAACACAGTTTTTAAAAATATGCAACCTTACCTGATTGTAGTGGGTTTCGCAATACGCCAAGCCTTTTCTCTCGTAATGACGATGGCCCAGGAACGGCTTTTCACATTTTGCACAAACAAAATGCTACAAAGAAAATGACATAAGTTTTTTTTTATTATTTGGAAGAAATGTGTTTTTTTCTGGAAAGCAAACCAACCAAGCCCAGTACTGAACACGACTGAAGTCTACTAAGCTAGTTGTGCCACCCTGAAAATAAGAATTAAAAGGATGTACACTTTAGACTACTGAAATCAATGTGCCTTTTAATGTAGTCAACATTTCAATCCCAAAGTTACCCCAAAAAAATAAAGCAAAGGGTTTCTCATATGTTATCAGTGAACAAAATGAAGAGATTTTAAATGATTTGCACCACCATTACACTCTCGCAAGGAAAGCATTAGCTGGAGGAGATTTTCAAAACAACAAAAGGAATAGACTGTTTATCTTCCTAATTTAAACGGAAGATGTGGAACTAAACCTTGTACACGGCCTTGAAATACGAACCCGCACATGAAGTGCTTCAGAGGTATTTACATGACAGGTGACTGTGGGAGACATAAGGGTGTTACGACGCTCCGTAACATTACGGTTGGTGGAGCATTTTACTGCCTTTCCACACGTACTGCTTGGCACCCTGACATTTTCTTCTGTAAGGACCTCACAGTGCTTCCTCTGATTACTGATTTTAGTTTCACAGTCAAAGCTCTCTGTAAGGTAGAAAATTATTCCTGTTTCCCGGTGGAAGATCAGCCACAAGGAGGTTGAAGATGGGGTTAGGAGAAGGCATTGAAACCCACCAGCAAAATCCCAGCTCAGCACGTTATGTTTATGTTTGTCAAAGACAGTGTGTACGGTCTGAGGTTTACCTCCACATGCCATTGTTTGCCCATCGCATTCACCACACGGCCCTCAATCGGCCTTCTACACGCCCCACAGATGGGGACACCCATTTTGTCATGGCAGGGTAAGCAGTACAGTTCTCCCTTCAACTCCCGAGCATCAGCAGTGAGTTCCTTCCTGTTCAAAAGTTAACGAATTGAGAGCATGAGTAAAGGCACTGAACAATGCCAACTCTTGAGAGTGTCTGAAAAGAAAAACACAATTTTTAGCACCTCTTTTAGAAACTGTGTTTGTGCTACAGAAATGCAGCAGCATCGGACATGCCGTAGTTCACAAGACTGAGCCCACAATAAGCCGAGAACAGGCTGCTAAGGGAGACACACGAAGTCTGCAAACAGCTACCCAGCTACTGTCACTCTGCATTCCGATTATCTCGCACAAATATGCATGTGCAAGCTGCAGACATGTTTGGTTTATATTCTGGCACTCTTATCACCTCTTTATTTTACATTTGCATAACTGTAACTGAAAGTAAAATGTAGTTCTCCAAATCTGGGTACATTTTCCCTGTTGTATCCGACTTCAGACAAAGAAAACTACAGACCCACATGAGCTCGCTATGTTTATACATTGCTAATTGCAGAATCTCATGTACTCTACTCATTAATAATTTGCATGGTTAGGACACTGAGGACAGCTAAACTTTAAATGTGACCATACTCGCTAAAGCTCTCAACTGACACAACACCACGCTGTTATTCAAATCATCCTTTGCTATGGCTCTGAAACGACAGCTTCCTTTGCACCAGAAATAACTATTTTGTGCTGTATCTTACAATGCCCCCTGTTCCCTGCATCAGTGCAGGATGTAGGAATGTGCAGCTTCATGTACTGCAGCTGCAGAAGCTGATAAAGTGCGATGGGAGAAAGGCAGTAAGAAAAAGATAGGCCTTAAAAGGAGAAAACAAAGTTGGCATGCCACTCAGCTAAAAAGAAGTAACATAGGTGAGGCAGTAACTCAAGCAGCCAAAGAGGACCGCTTTTATTCCTCTCACAGCAGAGTAACAAGCTGTCACCTCACTGCTACACAAACCATTATCTGTGTCCACGCTTTGTATTTTGTAAGGTACCACTTTGTCCCGCAGAGTCCAGCCTTTCTCGACTCCCTAACAGGCCAGCTGATGTTTGACCTCAAGGCCCAACTCCACCACCCCAAAAGCAGCAATGCACATCTGGCAGCAAGGCACCCAAACCTCACCACTCCTGCCAGTTGTACAGGACAGATTTTCACTTTAAGATGTCAATCAGTGAAGCAAATAAACTCAGTGTTTTACTGTTTTCCTCTGCAGTGCTCAAGTTACCCGCAGTTGGCACAGTTGAAGTGATCAGGATGATAAGGATCATTTTTGAATATGAGAGGCTGTTCATCAATAATGGCATGGCACTTCTGGCAAATGTACTTTCCCAGGCCTCTGGCTTTTTCCCTGTTATGGCAAGGACGGCAGAGATGTCTGAAACAGCATAAAAAGAGAGGTCAGTACTGGTACCGCGTACTACAGTGCAAAATATAAACCAAAAAATCTATTAGAACTTCAGTTCAATCAGCCCTTTCTGGAGGGAAATTAGTTTTTAAAACGATCTCCTTACTAGGCAAACCAAATTCAGAAGAGGCAGGGTGATCATTTTATTGCCTGTCACCACAGGTGACAGCTCATTTGACTTCAAGCTGTGTTGAAACACAGAAAGCAAAGTTTCACAGAATCACAAAACAGTTTGGGTTGGAAGGGACCTTAAAGACCACCTAGTTCCAACCCCCCTGCCATGGGCAGGGACACCTTCCACTAGGTCAGGCTGCAAGTTTGCTATAGTTTTTCATTGCTGAATCTTTTACTCTCAAAATCTTAAAAATTTAGATTGTTAGCTGGATGAGCACACAGGTCCTAATCCTGTAGATAAGTATCGTATTATACATATGAAGCCAATGGCCATAGAATCCGCTTGTAAAACAAGCAGGTAAGAATACCCTACTCTCTGAAGGGTCCCACTGAGCTTAAAGCAATTATTAATACCTAAGGTGCTAAACTAGACCAAAATGGGAAACCCAAGTTGGGAAAAGAAAGTAAAAACTGGTATTAAAAAAAAACAGAGACAATGCTTCTGTATCTGAACGTTTTCTCTCTTTTTATGCATCACAATGGCTCTGAAATGCCACCCGGTAGAGAACGTGTTTGCCGAGAAACGTCGTGTTGAAAGAGGTAAACTGTTAATATTTTATGTGTGTATTTTAAGATACCCATTCTTAGTTTTGTGACGCAGTCTTCAACATTTTTCCCCACAAAAGATGTTTCAGTTGCTCCCCCTCAGATGTAAAGCTTCTGGAACCAACACCTCTCAGTCCACCCTCTTAGTTCATTTGTTTATGATAGTTCATTAGTTTATGATGGATCAGTAACGTAAGGAAGGGTGAAGACCTACCTGCCGGCGTTCTTGACAAATCCAATATCGGCCAACACTTGCTGGCAGATATCACAGCAGAAGCACTCTGGATGCCAGCTGTTGTTCATAGCTTTAATAACACGTCCAATAATGAACTCACCTGTAGGAAACACAACAGTGGGATGTAAAACACCGTGCAAGACAAAGTTAAAAGCAACCCGCAACCCAATGGCTACAATGTCATCATCCTCTTCCTCCCCCCACCGTATCTGGTAGGATACATTGCTGTCAGTATCACAGCTCTGCTTCTAAACTCTGGAATCTGCGTTTGGTTTTTGTGCTGTGGGTCAGAAGAAACCATCCTTGCTGACGGAGGGCCTTCTGTACTCTTCATACAAGCCCACCTACACGCACACTCTACCTTCTCTCCACAACCATGGCTCTTCAGTCCCTTCCCTGCTTTTACTTACCTATTCTCAAGCTACTAAGAAATACATGGAGTTCTTTATATAATTCATCTTTCTTATGTCCTAATCGTATTTTCCCTTCTTTTCTTTTAGAAGGTGAAAATTTTAACTTGTCATGTACATAGTAGTCGTTTCTACTCCACTAGGACCAAGCCTTGAAGGGGTTCCATACTGAAAGCAAAACAGAACTGAGCTTGTAAAAAAACCAAACCATGGAGTCAAAACATAAAGCTGCAGAACAGTCAATCCAACACCCAGCTTCTGACCTCCCACGAGGAGTCCTGTCCTGCGAGGCATTCAAATATTAGTGTGAGAACTACTACTCTACTAATGGTTTGCATGCACCGTGTGACTGTACTGCATGGGCAGGGGGGCCATGTCCACCGCGCAAGTGATGTATCGTTCTCTATGTGGATGTTGTAGCCAAGGCCCCTAAGCAGTGCAAAGGTTCTGCCTAAAATGCGCTGGGAGCTCAGCTTCCCAGTGCTGCAGGAGGCTGCATCCTGGCTTTGGGGAACTGTGCTGGGTTCAGGCAGGAAAG